AAATTAGTGTATATTATATTCTTATTATGAAGGTATTTTGCTATAACCTCTTTGTGCAGATAAAGGAATTTACTTAAAAGAACCTCACTTTCACATTACCTATTTTATGAGATGTCGGGGTTCTAAAACACACATGTATTTAGTGTTGTTACAGATTATTTTTTAAAAAAGGTTTATTGGTACACTTTAGGTGTACATTATGATCACATTCATTATTGAGAACTTGTACTGATACGTGACATATCCTGGTTCTCATTTTTCCTCATCCCCTTTCCCTCGCTTCAACCACTCCACCCCTCCCTATTTACATAGTTTTTATTTCCATTCCCCCCTTTTTTTTTCTTTTGGCCTTCCCTCTTATAAATTTTTATTTCTTTCAGAAACAACTAAAGACTGTTTTCTTTTAAATTCTTAGGAATTCTAGCTCCAGTGTCTCAACATGCAATTATCTGGAGCTTGGTGCTCTTTTTGTGTTAATAGGTTTCTGTTTTCTCTTTCTTCTAGTTCCACTTGCCTTTCTCTCTTGGGTGCTGTCTGTAACGGAGACCAATAACAATTCAATAGGTATGTGAGTTATGTTACCTATAAATTATTTGGGAGACCTAAACCTCTATGCTTCCAGACAGTAAGGCCTGTTTTCTTTCATTTCTGCATCATTAGTACCTAGTGAGTACCTGACACTAGCAGGCCTGCAAATGATATTTCTGAGTGTCTAAATGAACACCTTATATTAATAAATCATCTCAACTTCATTTGGTCCTGAGAATAGGAATGGGTGAAAGACAGAAGAAAGATTTATAGAGGATTCTTGTCCTTACACTGACCAACAAAGAAAAGTTTCTATCAGTCACTGACATAAATCACGAAGTTGGAGTGGGATGCCAGGTAGGACTAATATTTAAGCTTAGGTTGCAGAATATTATACAGTTGTAAATTGCAATTTCAAACTAAGTGCAAGATTAGCTATAAGTAGAGAGGAAGAAGATTCATTATAAGTGGAGATAAAGAAGCAGATATCAAGGACTGCCATCCTGGTGTGGCTAGAGTGCTGGGAGCCCCAGGTACCATGCTGTTAATAGCAGCATGGTCTAACAACTGAGCAAGTCTTAACTTTGTAAGATGTTACAATTTCTATACTATGTATGAAGAGGCATTCTGGAAGTAGAAGTAAAAAACCAAAGTAGTAATTGACAATGTGAAATAGGAAGAAAAGGGCAAAAGGTGTAGGGGAAGTGGGAAGGGTAGGGGAAAGGGAATAAGGGAAGAGAAAAAAATATGAGAAAATGAAAAAATGGAAATAAAGTTTTTGTAAATAGGGAAGGGAGGAGCGGATGAAGGGAGAGCAGGGATAAGGTGAAAAAATGAGAACCAAGACTTGTCATGTAAAGGTACAAGATCCCAATGATGAATGTAACTGTACTGTATACCTAAAATGTACCAATAAACTCAATGAGAAAAAAACAACTAAAGTAGAAATCATTTCAAACTTTAGACTAATGTTTCAGAGGAGAAAAAAGGTTTCGTTACTGTTCAAAATTCATGTTTATGGTTGTAATTGGGTTTGCGGCAACATCAATGTTTTATGAGATATTAAAGTAAAATTATTCACATTTGAGTCCCTCTGACTTATGAAAAACACAAAACAGGCTGTTTTAAGAAAACTATGATGTGATCAATATAAATGTAATTGAGTGTTCCCTTTCCTTGGTTTCAAAAGTCACAGTTGAGTAGGTGTGGGAGACCTGGATCAGGGCTGTAGGAGGACCCCAAAGGAGAGCTTCCCGAATCCTACAGCACTCTTGCCCTGATGAGAATGGTGATACTACTAGACTATGTAAACCCACGGGAAGGGACCATTTCTGGCAGTTTCTTGTTACTGTGTCATTGACATAGCTCCTACATTTGTGAATGGGAACTGGCTGCTCTGTAAACCTTGAGATTGCATAGCAAGTCAGAATCAAGAAACAGTCGTTGCATATTATAAGACAGAAATAACAGCCTATCATAAACAGGAAATGGCTGTCTACCATCTCTTCTAAGTCCAAATGTAGGAAGTTAAAAACCTTATACGCATAAAAGCCTCACACTAAATGAAACATGAGTGGAGCCATATAATTAATTTGATCTAGAAGTTCAAATACGTTGAATGAAAATTTTTAAAGAACACACTAATTTAAACTGGAATTGGATTATACTTCTTCATGTAAATGATAATACTGACACAGATTGCTAATCATCATGAATTCCAAGTTAATTCTAGTCCAGTCAACCAAGTTTTAACTAGAGCTGAAAGGGCTTCAGGGAAATAATAAAAACAGAAAATTTTGTTTGAAACAATTTGTTGATTTTGAGGATAACCATAGTACTGTCCCTGGCTCCTAAAACCTCATTTTCATCTCCTTATGCAAAGGGCATTTAGTCCATCTCCAAGAGTTCCCATAGTTTAAACATATTTCCAACATTACTCAAAAGTCCAAGTCCAAAGTCTCCTCTGCGACTCAAGGCCATTCTTAGCTGTGAATCTCTATAAAATTAAAAAAGATAGTTGCATATTCCTAACACATAACAGCATAGAATAAGCATTCTCTTTCCAAATGAGAGGGATGGGGGAATAGAAAGGAACTAAACCAAAGAAAGACTCAAAGCAGAAAGGCAAAAATTAAATGCTGTAGCTCCAAGTCCAGCATCCAGGAAATGTAGTGGCATGATGTGAACTCCAAGGGCTTGGGAAGCTCTACCCATATGGTTCACTGGTTACAGCCTGAATAGTTGCAGCCTGTGCTGGCTTTGCATTCTGTCTTGTGGTTTTCCTCAGCAGACACTGTGCTTTTTAGCATTACTTCCACAGTTTCTTTGGCTTCACTCTCAGAGCTTTATGCACTACTCTCCCAGGGACTGTGTGTAGGGATTCTGATCTGCCACATATTGCTTAGTTTCCCAGGCCTTCCTTTCAAGTCTCAGTGAAAAGCTTCCACAACTCTTGTTCTGCATGCCTGCAGAAACAGTATTACACAGACCACACCAAGGTTTGTTTCCAGCTTAGGCAGTAGCCAAGTCCATTTGGATCTTGACTGCAGCAGTCTCTGAGTGCCTAGATGACTGAGCACAGAAAAAATGAACTTTGAGGGGAACAATTTTCTGTACCAGCAGAGTGTCCCAGCGCTCTCTTCACAAAACAAAATCTTTCAAATAAGTATACTTTTGCACTTCTGAGCAGGCAATGAGCAACACTTGACAGGCTCTCAAGACATCTTTCCTATTGTCCTGGTGCAAAGTACTTGACTTCTTTTTAATGGCACTAATCTCTTCAGCAAACACATCTTCACTAGTCCAAATTTTCAGGCACTTCTTTTCTGGTCTAACTAAATTTTCCACACCTTTCAGCTGTGCTTTTGTGTTCTCTATTCTCATTGCAAACCTGGCTAAAAGCAGCCAGTAATACCTATGCCACTGCCTGAACGCTGGGCTACCTTGAAATTTTCTTTGTCAGGTCAATTCGTCTGTTGCCTTTAAACTCATCCTCATGCAAGATCTTAGGCACTGACCCTATGTAGAAAAATTTTTTGCCAAATGTAACATGAATGGTCTCTAGCTCAATTCCCACTGGAATTCTTGCTCTTATCTGAAGGCTCATGAGGACAGAACTTAATGGACACATTCTAATCAACATTCCAGTCTTCTGAGTTCACACCAGAATCATCATCTGTTAAGCTCCACTTACAATGTGCTAGGGTTTCTCTAGTCTGCATCTTCAAATATTTTCAAATTCCTTCCAAAAACCAGTTCCAAAGGCTACTGAACCACATGGTCAGGTATAGTCACAACAAGGACTCCATTTCTTGGTTCTAAGCATGGCAAGCTTTTTGATACTGGGACAAAACACCTGAGATAAACAATTTAAAGAAGAAAAAATTATTTTGGCTTATAGTTTCAGAAGTTTCTTGGCTCCATTCCTTTAGGCCTGTGCTGAGGCAGAAACATCCTGGTGGAAGGATACGGCTGAGGAAATCTGTTCATAGGGAAAGAGCATGAGAGAGAGAGGAAAAAGACCAGATATAGGGCCAGGAATTTAGCCTTGCAAGTGCAAGGTCCTGAGTTCAATCCCTGGTACCAAGAAACAAAGAGAGAGAGAGAAGGAGAGAAAGACAAAATGAGAGAAATAGAGGGAGGGAGGGAGGAAGGACGGAAGGAAGGAAGGAAGGAAGGACCAGATATTGTTCACCAGATCTTTCCCCCTTGAACCACTCCCTTCAACTAGGCCCCACCTCTTGCTTCCATCCCCTCCCAATAATTTCATCAAATTATGATCTTATCAGTGGATTAATCCACTGAAGTTAGAGCCAGTGAACTTAGAGCCTTCACAATTCAATGACTTCCTAAAAGCTCATCAGCTGGCAATCAAGCCTTTAACAAATGAGTTTGGAGGAACCTTTCAAATACAAGTCACAACAAGGCTGAGATATTTATCATGTGTGTCATGCATATAGCCCCGTCCAACACCAGCATATGAACCCTCTGTGAGATAGGTCCAACCAGGGTCACTGCAGCGATGGTCCCTATTCCACACTTCCAATCTCACTGCTTTTAGCTTCATAGCCATGAAAGAAAACTGAGATCAGAGTGAAGAGTGGATTAAACACAGGTTCAGAGAATAGAAGTTGAAAGACTTTCCTAATCTAGCCAGCCTCAGGCCAAACAGAGACTTTTAGACCCTGAGAAATTACTTTCCTGGTAGAAATCACTAAAGCCTGTGGCATACTTCCATTTGTGGGCAAATCTGTATTTCCTGAGTCTCACTAAGTATATTTTTCTAAGCTTAATTCTTTTTCTTACAGCTAACATGCTAGACTCTGGTAAATCTGTTCAACCACTCTAACATGTTCTAAAATTATAAGCCGGATCTACACTGTTTTAAAAACCTCACACTGACTTCACACACTCTGTGCTCCTCACACATCAGAAACAAGGCAGTCGTTTCCTTGTCTCCTCAGCAGCTTTACCTGAACTGGTGGAGGCAGGGGATTTGCTGCGCCGGGAAGGTCCTGGGCTCTTGGTGGTGCTCCTGCGGGACGATGAAGCTATTTTGGTGTAAGAAGTGGATTTCACCACACGACATTCTGGGGAGAGAATGATGACACATTAGGATTGGGCAACAGCAAACAAACCATCTCAAAATACATAAAAACCTGGCTATAGAAATATACAACCATTTACAGCCAAACCTGTGTCCTGCCATTCTAATGCTTGGCTATGACAATGGAGGCAGGAAACAATGCCTCTGTGCAGAGTGCACTGCTGAGATATCAAAGTCAATGACACCCTAAGCCTCCAAGTTTACCAGATTTCTTACCCTTATGAACATGGGTTTACTTGACTACTTCCTTAGAATAGATCCAATCCCTGGCACTCAGAATTTAATTTCTAGTAACAAGAAATGAAGGAAACATTGTAGATGCTCAAGAATTTCACTGAATGAAGAGGGTTTGGCAGGTTGCAAGAGAAGCGCTTCTTAAAAGCTCCTGACAGACTCCACCGCCCTCTACAATGTCTAACACAAACTATATTTTTACCAGAGCTTGAATAGGCATTTACCTGATCCCTTGCTAAGATTATTTTTTATTTAATTTTTTTAATTTTTTTATTTTTCCAAAGAAAATTTTGCAAATTTCCAAATAAATATTAAACTTCATTGCTCAAAATCTAAATCAGTTTGATTGATAATATTGTATATTTCCCCACATGTGTATTAGCCATTTGTATTTCTTCTTTTGCAATTACTTATTTATAGCCCTTGCTCTTCTGCAATTGATCGTTTTCTCTTATAAGAGTGTATTCTATATTAAAAGTCTAAGTGTAATTTATTAATTTTCCCATTGTTCATTTTAAAATCATTTTGTGCTTTAGTAACAATTCCTAATTCTGCAATTGACCATCCAATGTTAATGTCTGGTTTTACCTTTGAATTTCTTCTTCCCTATCAATACACATTTTTTTTTTTTTTTTTGGTACTGGGGATTGAACTTGGGACCTTGCGCTTGCCAGGCGGGTGGTAGAACCACTGAGCTAAATCCCTGACCCAATACAATTCTAATTTTGTAAGTTCAAAGCACATTTCTTTCCATTATCCAGTCTGAATGAATAGAGTAGGTCAAATTATTTAGTAAAATGGAACGAATGAAGGTATATGTAAAGTAAAGGCAATACAAGACTTGAAATACAAAATATGACATAGGGAGGAGACTCATGAACTGAACTGGGGAAAAAAGAAAAGATTTCATGAAGAAGGTGGGTGACAAAGAGAAGCAGGGAAATTGTGCCTTGAGATATTAGTATGTGCGACTTCCTTTGCCTTTTTTCCATAGTCATAAACAGAGAGAAATGAATCAGGGAATACTGAACCTGCGTGTTTTTCCCAGAAGAAACTTGGGCCCCTGCTGGCTGTTTTGGCTACCCAGGTGGTCCTGTAGGACATTTCATTTCTTAAGAGAATGGAAAGAAGTTATACATATGGGCATAATAGTAAAAATAAAAGATAGGAATAACCAAGAAATGGGACTAACAATACAGAATATATGATCAGAAACATCGAGACCATTTGCATGGGATAATGCTTAGGGTGTGTCCATGGTGATTTTAATTCACAAAGCCAAGTTTTGCATTGTGTGAAGAAGACTTCACATAGCTCAGGACTTGGTTTACATGCAAATGATAACACACCTTGGTTTTGGATACCTGCAGTATATTAACAGCCAAACTTCATTGGCATAATGTGGCCAGTACATGGGCATGCCTCCAGTTACATGTTTAGCAAATACCCACTATGTGCTAGGCACCAAGAGCCATAGACAAGATATAGAACACGCAATACAAACTTGGAATTTGAAATACTGGCCACCTGGCAGTGGTGCACAGATTTGTTTTTTTGTTTTTTTTTTTTACCAGCAAGCCTTGTTACTAACTTTTATTTCATAAAACATTGAAAAATGTTGGTTAGTGCAACAATAGCATATTCAATCACACCAATCAAAATCAAGGATATAAATGAGGATAGAATGACCAGAACTTTTTGTCTCAGGTCATGGACATTTAGAGGTCACATAAATTTAAAACAATAGTTTAAAAAGCTCAGCGTCAAGCTAGCAGGAATGAATAGCTAGCTAAAATAGAAAGTTACCAGGTGGTACACATTGTTAATAACAGCCATTTTCAAGCTGCAACATGAATTAAAAAGTTGAGTTTAGGTGCCAGAATGGCTGGTTATGGTTCTAACTACCATCCAAGGCTCTAGATCAGCATAATAGAATCTATATTGCCATAGTAAGCTGACATTTTTCTAGTTAATAGAAAGATACTCGTTACTTCAGTCAGGCACATCAGTTTTATCACAGCAAAGCAAACCCATGAGATTTCTGAAGTATTGAAAAGAGCTTGTCAGCTCATTTTATGACCCTAGTGCTTCTGTTGCTTCTTTTTTTTTTTGGTACCGGAGATTGAACTCGGGTCCTTCTGCTTGCAAGGCAGGGCACCAAACCGCTAAGCTAAATCCCCGGCCCTGTTGCTTCTTTTGAATACAGTTATAAGCATATTATAATTCAATCGAAATTATTCATTTACTCCTCTATCTTTCTACCCCCTTTCTACATTGGGTATCTAGCGCCTGACATATTAACAAGATGTAACAGCTGCTCAAAATAATAATACCGGTCCTGGTACTACTTTTGTGAACTCTTTGTTCACTGGACTAATCCCAACCTTTCACTTTAGTAATTAGGAAACGGAGTCTTCGAGAGGTTAAATGACTTGAATCAGAACCTAAGTCTCTTTGGTTGGTGACTTTCTCACCACCCCAGTACTTGACACTGTGGTTCACACATGTTGAGAAATACGTACGGGGTGACGGTGGAGGTGGAAGGGTGGCGAGCAACCAGTTTTCATATAAGCATTAAATTAAGAGTTCAAGATACTAAAGTTAAATTTATTTCAAGTTGTCTATTATATTTGAAAAAAATAAACTCTTTCAAAAGTAGAGTTATAATGAAGTAATAACTCGGGGGAGCATAGAGTATGAAAGATAATTACAAATCTTGTGCCATTTACTTTCAGGGTAAGAGTAGGCTTCGTGAGTCATACTGGGAATTTGTATAATTCTGAAAGGCATGTGCTGAAGAGCAGAAATAGAAAAAACACAAAATTACAGTCACTGCCCTGTACCCTTGGTCAAAATAAACCCACTTAAAGATTATTGCAGTGGCAAAACATAAATTAGAGAAAAAAATACAGCTCCAACCATCTTTCCAATTAAAGTTTGGATTTTAAATATTTTAATTAATTTAAATAAGAATTGTATTTTAGGGCCAGGGATTTAGCTCAGAGGTTCAGTGCCCTGCCTCGCAAGTGCAAGGACCCGAGTACAATTCCTGGTACCACAAAAAAAAAAAAAAAAAAAAAAAAAAAAAAAAATTGTATTTTATAATGGTGAAAAATGCAGTGAGGAAAAAAATGCTGACTAAGACAGAATACCAAAATTACTGCCAGCTTAAAGCCAGCCTCAAAGTAGAAACATTGTGAACAATATGACTGAAATGACCAGTAAATAGAAAGTCTTTTTGTTCTCAGAAAGGACATTTTCACTATCTCTGGTGAAAGTGAAAGTGTCAGCTCTTTGGTTGGGGTGTTTGCCTTGGGGACAATAATTTTTTCATTCTGGTCATTTTTGACACTCTTAAGTTTTACTGACCAATTTCCTGAGAGGGTTGCACTTCTTTAGGCTTTGGAGATACTGGATGATGCAGATACTCCCTTAAGCAAGAGGACACTGGAGAGCTAGTGAGTCACTTGGAGGAAGCTGCTGGACTTATTACCAAAGATTGCAGCACACCCTAAGTACACTTATCCCTTGGTAGCCCCAGGACCCTGGCTCCATGACTCTCATGCATCACAAAATCTGTGCATGTTTCTGTCCCATATATGAACTAGCACACAATACTCTTGTATACTTTAAATATCTCTAGATTACACCTAATACCTAATACACTGCAAAGTCTATTGAAATAGTTCAAAGTCTGTACATGTTTAATATAGATGCAACTTTTTTTCCTGAACATTTTCCATGCATAGTTGGTTGAATCTTACCCTTGGTTGATTGATAGAAGCAATGAATGTGGAAGGCTGACTGTATACGGATATAGTAAATCCACTGAATGTCCATGTGTTAAAGCACTGGTGCCCATGGGGGGGTAATATTAAAAGGTGATGGAGTTTCTGAGAAATGAGGCTTAGCAGAAAGTCTTTAGGTCATTGAGAGTGTGTCCTTCCAGGGGATTGTTAGACTCTGGTCCTGGCTTCTGCCTCTGCCTCTGCCTCTTAGCTCAAGATATAATGTTTCCTCTGCCACATACTGTGGGATGTGCATCCCTCACCAGGGGATGAGAGCAATGGGACTACCCAATCTTGTACTAGAACCTCCAGAACTGTAAGTCAATAAACACTTCAAACCAAGCAGACAAAAGGCATCTTTGGTGGCCCATAACAAAGCAAGCAAACAAGCAAGCAAGCAAGGTGTTATTAAATTGTTACTTTAGAAAGTTCCTATATTCATAGGTCTTTAAGGTGAAAGTGTCATTTTGTATATGGTCTATACTATCATTAGCTGTATAGATATTCAGGGGATTTGGTAAGATACACGTTAAAATGTTTCCCACCTTCAGCCAGGGCACTCAAGAAATGGGCATTCTGTGATGGACAGATTTGAAGAGGCAACCCAGATGGTGATGTATAGGGAGGAGGTGGAACATATTCTTTGGCCATGTTCCAGGAGGCATAAGAACCTTCACTTAGGCAGATCCCTCCCGCCCAAACAGTTGGTGGGTAGGCTGAAGTGTTATAGAAGATGCTGAGGAACAGAAACGATTACAGAGCTCCACTGCAGGCACTGGCAGCTCACCTGAGGACACACATTCATACACAACATTCATGCATCAAAAGGGCTTACTTGCACCTTTTGGAGAAACTTGTACAAGGAAAAGTTTGTCCAGACGGACAACCTTAGGGACATACTACATGCTGGCAAGGGAATATTCTTTAAGTAAGAAACACTTTCACTCTTACCTATTTTGTA